CGCGGACCAAAATGCGATTGCGCTCTCGAAGGGAATTAGTGTGGAGAAAAACGCGCGATTATCGTAAAGTCTCGCGTGGAAAATGTAAACGACCCAATCGTAGAAAAATATTTTATACATCGATATCGGCACGTTTTTATCTCATTTTATTAAAAATACCGTAAGCGTATACAATAAATGAGAGCTGTAAAAGTATTCACGGAATTATACAAAATACATGTAATAAAATAATATAGTAATTAACTGAATATCAACAGAGAAAAACATATTATATAGGGGGAAGTCACCGAGTGCCGGACACCTAAGGTTATTTATAAATAAATCAAAAAATATTTTACGAAATGTTTATTAAATTATAACTTATGTTAGATAACAAAGTTAGAAATCAAACTAAATTAACAAAAACGAAACCTTTGCTAAAAATAATTAATACTATAAATCAAACATTGGTAACAAAAAATATAATAAGAAAGTGGCACCTAGTACCGGACATTTCAAAATAACTTGCATTGAACACATATGTAGCCTTCTCCACACTCTGAAATGTCTGCACATGTGAGTTTGCCGAATATTCTTTGATATTGCAAAAAAATCACTATTTATCCACCCTTTTGGAGCATTCATCATAAGATTTTCATTCTTTGACTAGGAAATACGAAAAATGGGGTATGTAGTGACCGTTAGCACTCATGCAGAACAAAATTGAATAATTAGAATAAATTACGTCAATTCTCACAAAAATATCAATATGTTTACTCTCTGGCGCTGAGAACGACTTAGTGCCCGGCGCTAAGGGACAGATATTTTTGTTCATTTGGTGGTATCAACTAAAATTGTATAAAAGATCTAATAATATTCTACCATTCTACGGATAACAATTAAGTACTACTTTTATCTTTGCATACCACTCAAATGTAAATACTCAAATGTACTAGAATTACTTAATTGATATTTATGTAACGCCGTGATTTTGCAAAGGGTTGCCGTGACCGTGTGTGTCACAGGTGAGTCTTGACGCGTGATCCTGCACCTGCGTGCCCCCCGCGCCCCTTTCACTTGTATTTTGAAATAAAAGGATTTATACTCGCTTAACTAATACGTATTAAATAGAGTGTCTGGCACTAGGAGCCGTCCGGCGTTACTTTCCCCTAATAATAAAATATAGTAAATGTATATGTTTTATTCTGGAGATATTAAACATAAAATATGATTTATGAAAAAGTAAGGATTTTAATATAATTTAAATTAAAAAGAATATAGTGATATGCGGGAGTGCAGAGTACAATTTTACTTTTAGTACCTACTACATTAGAACTAACAACTATTAAACTATGTTCAGTAAACTTTCCCGCTAATTGATCAAACTAAACTAATAAAAAGAGACCTTTTTACCCAATGACCTTTAAGCCCCGCTCTACCCAATATTCAAGGAGAAGATAATATAATATAAGGCGTAAAATTTATTACAGTAATTTGTTTTTTTTTTCTTTTGAACATATTGCTACAAAATATCAAATATAATAAATATAAAAGCTAAGAATTAACAAAATAAATAAATGAAAGAAACAAGAAATCTGCTATAATATAACATACATTTATGATGTAGTAACATAACAATAAATTATGAATTCTGGAGATTTTTCTGTGATCTGATAACTTATTTTAAATTTTCTCAATATATTGTCAAAAAATTGTAACTCAGGTAAAAAATACATAAAAAAAAGTTGAATTCCTGCAGCTGAAGAAATTAGCCTAGAAATGGTTTAATTTTATGAATAAGTAAAATAAGACTTTCTCAACAAACTTTCGAACGTGGAGTTTAGATATTGCCCTTTAAATTTTAAATGGTCTCATAACTTGAATTTTTGTCTTGAAATAAGAAAGAAATAACTAACTAGTTATAATTAATTTGAAGTGAATGCCAAATGATTTATTCAATGTAAATCGACATCTGTCATTTCGTGTTATCATTTCGATCATTTTAAAATTGGTTTGGTATCTTTACCATGTGATCTCTAAATAAACGAGTATTGATTTCAATTTTTATATCACCATTGATATATAATATTACATGATAATAAATATATCATTTCCATGTTATAAATATATTTGTTTTAAATATTTAGAGTAATTGTGATTTCGATGTTATCATTTGTCTCATCATATTACTAAATGTGCAATGGGCAGTGCAATTAGAAAAAATCATTACTGTTCTAATAAATTCATATTGCGTTTGTTAATTAACAAGTAATTACAGAGTATAACATGTTATATTAGAATATGTAATTGCGATGTCATTGTAATAATAAATAATATATCAAACTAGTAGGAAATAATACTAATACAATGTGCTTCGAGTAATTGGGAATAATTTTGATATTGAGACATAGATGACAAAATTAATATGCAACGTTGACTGATTGTAATGAAATATTATTGAAGTCATCAATTTCGTGATCTAACTGTAATTTCGGTCCTTTGTATCGAGAAGTCAAAACTATTTGCATAAAAATACCATAATAGTGAATTGACAAACATATTCGTCATGGTGAAGTGACTAAACACAAACTACGGAAAGTCTAAAATCTTCCTTGTCAATATATTTATTCTTTATACAAATAGAAGGTTCTTAATGTGAAAACCGAATTTTTTTCTTGATATCTTCACCGGAAAACAGTCCGGAGCCATTTGAAGAATCCGGCTTAGCGCTTATCATACCGTCATGACCTTAAATCCGGGCGTGTTCGTGGCACTTCTTATCGCAAAACAAAAATATTAAATGACGTCCTGTGATATCATCTCTTTTTATTAGGTCAACCATGAACACATTCCGGGATAAGAAGCTCACGTACACGAAAAAATAAATAGTAGTTGAAAATAAGACTAATTTACATAAAAACATTACAAGTATAATTTTTTAATTGATAATTGTCTCTACAAATCCACTCACCAAAATTTCAGCTAATAAATTGCACACATATATTAATCTCGAACGCTTAGACTTATATTCTTGGATAAATCCTATTATAAAACAAGAAAATTGAGCAAGTAATTAAATATCTTTCTCCTTCAATACAAAAGACGGTCTGGGAGTACAGCTTTTTAATCCCACCACAGGTTAGAAAATTGTGTGATTATCAATATCATAACACAATCTCAATCCAAATTTTCGATAACTCAAAGAGTCAACTAAACTTCTGAATTTGCCAAATTCGGTATCAAACAATATTCAGATAATGAAAGGTCTACAAATAATAACAAACAAAATCTACTAATCTATTATTGAATTTTGTAAAATTAGTGTTAAGATTGATATCGTTTTAGCTTCGTATTTCATTGGGCGTAATACAATTGAGATAATTTGCTTTCTGTAATATAAAAATCTAATCCTGCATCCGAAATATAAGAAATAAAGCAATGTATAACTGTTCTAATATGGGATTTAGTAAAAGGTTTGATAATTATCATGTGATGCAAGAACGTGTTTGATAAGCATCCACATGATGCAAAAACATGTTTGATAATTTTCCACACGATTTATTTTATGATTTATATCTCATTACATATCCAACTAATCATATTATACGATTTTAATCATCTTTATGGTATACCAAACTAAAAGACAAGGAAAATTGATTGAAAATGGTGAATTATTCTTTAGTGCTGCTAAAGGCAACATGAATAGCTATTTAGTGTACCAAAAACATTATGCTATTTTTGGATTAAATGCAGAATTTTTTTTTGTCGATTAAATGCAGAAAATTATTTTTGTAAATTTGTAGGTGTAGTAAAAAACGAAATATAGTTTTAGCAGCATAAGTGCATACAAAACGAAAATATTGAATGTCGTCCTGTGATATCCTTTTATTAGGTCAATCATGAACACATTCCGAGATAACAGGCTCACGTACACGAAAAAATAAATAGTAGTTAAAAATGAGACTAATTTACATACAAGATTTTGGAAATAAAATTATTGAATTGGTAGTTGTCTCTGCTAAATTACTCATGGAAGTTTCAGCAAATAATGCAATTTTTACGTATGCAACTTTTCTAATATTTGATTGAGTAAAAAGAGTTCGACGAGTATTCTAATGATGCAAAAACATGCTTGATAAATATCCACATGATGCAAAAACATGCTTGATAATTTTCCACATGATTTATTTTATGATTTATATCTCATTACATAGCCAACTAATCAGATTATATGATTTGAATAATTTTTAAATTAGCCTATCTATATATATATAGTGATCTTTATATATCGCTTATATTTCTAAAGTTAATGATTACTTTTTTATGAAAATTGATTTGAAATTGGTTTAAATTTATTCTATTCTTTGGCAAACCGTTAGGTTTCACAATTACCTAAAAATAAATACAAAACGGAGAAAATTAAACAAACAAAATGAATACAAAATTATTTTTCAGTGATTCAAATAACATTAAAATATGCTCATTTTATTTATATAAGCTGTCGGAGGAAATAAAATCACTCACTTATATTCAAAATTAAATTAACAAATTAAATATGAACAGAATTAATTTTATTGATAATCTTTTATTGAGATATATTTATTAAATTTAAAAAATTCTTGCATAGAAAATGATTTTTTATCATATAGTAATTTTTACACCTGTACTGAAATGGCCAACAAGTAAAACTGTAGGATTAAGAAAAGTATAAGAAAAATATAATTTATATTTTAGTACGTGGATATGTGTATGTGTTTTTGTGTTTATACAATTGCAAATTTATAACAATATATAAAAATTAAACTGTTATAAACTATTTGCAGAGATATTTGTTAAACAATCTTATACGAGACAATGTATCTAACTAAAGATGTGGTACGTATATCTCATATTTTAAAAAAGAAAAAAAAATAGATAAAAAATACCATTAGTCTGACTAAAGTCATTAACAATTTTCTTTCGTATTTTTACTTTGTCGCTAAATGCTTATCAATACAATACCATAAATATAAAACACTTACCTCATCTCTATTTTTCCTCCTAATGTTTTCCTGATCGCAAATCTGTAAATAAAAGAAAAATTAAATTATTATCATTTAACGATAAGATTCTGTGACTAATCCATCGTATTTAAGTATTTCCATACAGTTAAATATTTAAACAACAATTTAATTTACTTTTCTCCCAGCTAACTAATATATTAAAATTACTGCTAATCAAATATAAATTAGTACAACCGTACCCAGTCTACTTTACATACAAATTTTATAATTGAAACCAATAAAAAGAATCATACCAAAAAGTTTTTTTTGTTTATATGGTTATCGATTCAAACTAATCTGGTTCAACAAAAGTTTTGTTGAGATTTACTTATATGTACAATACTCTTATAGACGGCATACCAATATTTTTGTCTTTAAAATTGTAAAATATTTATTTTAAAGCATGAACAAATTTTTACGTTGTTTTAGCAATGGTTGGAAAGTCTATTTTACTTGATATCATATTTAGACCTATACTTTCCAATGAAAACGGATGCCACTACTGCATGATATCACGCTTTTCGAATCAGAAATTAAAACTGGAAGTCTTGTGGCCGAAAGACCTGGATTTTTAACCCAAGGTACTAAAAACCCAAAAATAATAATATCTGTGTAATTTTATATATTCTTTTATTCTCTTATCTTATTTTTCTATTCATTCAAAATTATTTCTCGGGAAAACAAGTGCATGTCAGATTGAATTTTACGGTTATTAAAATTGCATGAAAAGCTTACAAAAGTGTACAGATAATTAAATAATTGCTTACAAAAAACCCATACATAATCGAGATTCTAATGTGCGTTTGTGGAATCAAAAAAATGTCTTACATTTCAATCAAGATATAGAAGCGAATATGGAATCGGACAGTAAACCATCAGAAATCCAAAACTACGAAAGACCGTTATTGGATCCAGCAAATACAGCAAGATACCTCGCGAAGAAGGTCGGACCAATATGTTTACATCGGAAAAGATCTCGCTGCGTTCAACTTCTTCAGTTTCTGACTCAAGACAGGAAGTAATATCATCTAGTAATAATGCATCTACAAGCCTCACTCAACCACATTCTGATGTCAAGAAACCTCCTAATTCATGGCAAGTAGTCAATTTCAAAAAAGAAAAAACTTCATTTGAACCATAGGAATAGATGTCAAAATTCAAAACAGATTTTCGACCCTTTCAACAATAGACACAGCTAATGATGACAACTTAGTTAAACCGGCCCCAGTCAGTAAGCCCCCTCCAATATTTATTTACGGAGTGACGATATTAATGATATGTCTAATCAATTAAATGAAATAATTCCGCATGATCAATATTTCCTGAGAAGTTTAGCTAACAATACATTTAAAATTAAGATAAGCTATTAAATGTAAATGTGATGAAATTTAATAAGCTGTCTATAGTGATGGTCAGGAAACACATAACGTCAGTTAATACTAATAAGCTTAACTAACAGCAATATTGCACATTAATTATCGTTTTAGAGATAACTGAAAATTTAACGGAGCTATGCTAAGCTTTCGATATTCAGACCTATGTGCCCCAAGGGGCAGGGGAATGTAACCTCAATACAATTTACAGAATCTTAAACATGTGTATAAATACATGAAATTGTTTGTGAAGCATTGATTTTCACAGTTTCCTAGACACTTAATAAGTTTTTTATTGGAAAATCTAAAAAGTTCATAATGGCTGAACTCTTCCTCAAAAAATTGTTTTAAGAGATGGTTAGAACTAAATGCATAGATCAAATGCAAGTTGGCTAATAACTTTATATTTAAATTATATCTATTGTCACATGAGAGTAAACAATGAATTATTTCAAAGATAAATTTTTCAAAGATAGATTTTCACATGGTTCCAGTTCTCAAGACTAACAAATACAATTGTTTCTGCATAAAAATGAATACAAGATGTCCGTCCACTAAGATAATCAAAAAATTGTTAAATATTTTTTTAAATCTCATAAATTATTTTAATAAAAATAAGTTATGTAATATGTTTTATATAAAAGTATTCTAGATGCGTTTTTTATAAAAAAAATGGTATAAGTTCTAATATTACGATATAGCATTATTTATATTGTAGGACAATAAATAGCTGTATCAATGTGGACCATTTTGTTGCAATTTGCAAATATATTTTTGTTGAATTCAAATAATTATTGTTTCAACAACAATAAGAGTAATTCATCTATTTTTTTTCAATTCAGATCACAATGATTATAATTGTTATGGCTTTATTTAATGTTGCAGCAATGCCGGATAAAGGCTCTTTACACTTCCAAGCATATTGCTATCCATATTTTCAAGGAAAAACTGACTTCGAGTAGCCTACTACTTGATAGTAGTCTACTCGAAGCGGGATCGAACCCGGGACCTATGATTCATGTACTACTTGCTACTTGATTATGAAATGCAATAATAATTTGCTTGGATTTCATAATTCGTATAAAGAATTTAAGTAAAAATCAAGTAAGCAAAAACAAGGTGTGGCAGACTTCTGTGCAACCAACTCGAGATCCTTCTAATTTGATGGTAATAAAAGTACACACTAAATACCTGTAGATGATTATTCTAATTGTGATTTTGATCAAATGAATCAGAGTAATAACATGTTGATTTTAGAATAACGAGATGTCACAAACCGTAGTTTTATTTACTTTCTATAGTAATTATACAAAAATAACTAGTTCACTCAATTCTAGTAATTAGGTAAATACGTCATCCTCACCAAGTGTCATACCTTAGTTAAAATTGCAAAAAGACATTTTTGCTCTCACTTCCTGGATTTTCTGCAAAGTGTAGTAGAATAAAAATAAAAGCTTAATCAAAGATTGATCTCTAATGTCTTCTAATAATACCAGGTAAATCTTATGTTGTCAGTCCCTGAACCAGGAATCATGTGCAATATCCCTCGATATAGCCACAATGCATGTTCGGCGTTCAGGCATCAATTAGCACTAATGGTTGCTAACGATACGTTAAATGCATTTAGAGTTAATACTTGTTATTGTAGGGGCAATGCACGCCGATCCAGGTCATAACAATATACGGAATTTTTATTTTTGATTATCGTGCCAAAACACAATTTGAAATAAAGCTTTCGCTATACAGGATTATTGAAATAGCTGGTAATAAGTGGTTTGATATAAAGCAGTAAAAGGAATCTTCTCGTATTCATAAGAATTTATTAATTTGTTCTGAGATAAAGAAGTCCTTTTATCTAACTAATAGTATAATTTTTTTGTATTTGACAACTAAATTAGAAAATCATCTTAGGGGATTATTCTAGAATAGAGGCATCAATTTTAGGTCATGTTTAAGTCATTCTTAAAAATGCAATCAATTTTGATACTATCATCTTTCTCATAAGATGTTTATCAACATTATTATAATAGTGGCGGAAAAAAATTAAATAAATTTATAAATTCGCAGTGCTTGAAGCAGGGGGTCTCAACAAATTAACACGTGGCCTTGCCCACGATTGCAGCCCTCCTAGTAATTTGAAATAAAAAAAAAACTAGAATGATGTCGCAATGGTATATAGAGCAGGCCGGAGCACAAAAATCCAATTTGGCTTTGAGTATGTAATTATATTGTGAAAAGTAAACTAATTATATCACAACAGATAGCACATATCTAACAAACAACTATCTGACTATGTTCAGTAAAACTCAGTTAATTCTTTATTATAGAAATGTTTCAAAAATTGTCACCTGGTCCTTTTTACTTCATAGGCGGGGCAAATTGGTCCTTTTTACACCGTAGGGCAAGAGCTGGAATTTTGTCAGGAATATTCATCAGCACAGTTGGAATAACTGTTTATTTAACTGTTTAAATATTTATTGGATTTATTTTTAGTAAAATTACTTTTTTTACATTAATTAACTTATCGAAGGAGAAATTTGTTTTCATAAAAAAGCCGATTCGCTAATATTATGTTTTCTCGACGTTTCAAGCCATTCTGAATCGAATGAGACCAAATTTGGAAAAAGTATGTGTGTGTGTGCGTGTGCGTGTGTGAATAGATTTTTTACCGTAAATCGACGTTTTCTCAAAAACCGCTCGACCGATTTCAAAAATTTAAATGCCATTAGATGTATCTCGATGATGACTATTTGTCAGTTTTGCTTTACGATCAGCCCAACCGTTGCTTTGTAAATCGCAGAAAAGTGAAAAAATTTCGTTGAAAAACCAGTACCAACTAGTTTACTTTTTTATTTGATACATTTTATTTTCTACACCTTTGCCAGGGCAAAGGGTAATAAATATTGTTTGTTAATTCTGAACACCACTTGTTTTTAGATATCGGTGGTGGAGCTCTTTACCCGTAGACCTTTAAGCCGCTCTACCCTACTAAGATTGAATTGAAAAATAAATTTTTGACAAAATGGTATGTTTTTGAAAAAAGGATCAATTTCTAACTACTTTTTTGAGTTTCTCGACTTTGTTGAAATTATTAAAAATTTGGAGGCTAGTCCGAAACTTTAAAGTAAATTGGTAGTAGAGTTCGAGAAATCGTAGGTATTGTATTAAAAAAAAAACAGTTTTGAGAAAAACGCGTTTAAACTTTCGTAAAATGAATGAAACATCATGGTCAAACAGCTGTGTCTCCAAATATAATATATATATATATATTTTTAAAAACCCTTTCGAACACATATTACACAAATAGATAAATTTAAAAAATGTGATAAAAAAAACTCATTTTTAAATTTTTACGCCAGAATAACTCCTTAAGACAACATTCAAGAGATGACATACTCTAGGGTAAGCAGAAAGGTGCAATTTGATTTGCAGTAATTATATTGTCCAAAGCAAAGAAACTACATCACAATACATAATATATATCAAACAAACAACTATCGTACAATGTTCAGTAAAATTGCTAATTAATTCCTAATTATAGAAGTATGTTTTTTACTCCATATAGATACAAAAGGACAGCAAGAGGGCAAACATATCCGATGCTTTATTATTAATTTTAAATGTATTATACGAAATAATAGTTAT